TATAATCTTTTTTTAGCTATCTGCAATGAATTAGTAACTTCAGGGACTCCAGCTTTAAAAGGAAGTTGCACTATATACCTGCCACTTTCATCTCTACGTGTTGACTCAACAAATATTTTCTCACATTGCTTCTCTTCGTCAGTATACATTTTTTCTTTTGACATTGGAAGATCATCTTCCAGTTCCCAAAATTTTCTTAGATGCTCATTTTCCTCAAGTTGACAATGCATAACGTTTATTTTTTCAGATGGTGGACTGCACGCATCGACCACGCCTGACAATATCCAACCCAACGAAGTACATTGCGCGAGTGGCGAGCCATGTGACCCTTTCTTTACGCCATCTTGAATTATCTGACTATACACTTCTGAGCCTAACAACATGTCAATACGATTGGAAGTGTAATAGCCAGGGTCCGCGAGAATAATCTCTGTAATTTCCTTCCATTCCACAGCCCTTATCTTATTTGTAGGCAACAATGTGGTAATGGACTTAAGAACATAAGCATTTACATCTATTAAAACATTTTTATCAACTCTTGAAGTTATTTTTATATTAACCATAGCCTTGGATACTAATCCATTTTCACCACCTACTCCACAAATTTGATTCTTAACAGGAATTTTCTTTAGGCCCAACAGTTGAACCATGGATTCTGTTATAAAAGACGATTGGGATCCCTGATCCAACAATGCCCGAATTGTAAATATTTGACCATTTTTAGCCATTGTGTTCACTAAAGCAGTCGCTAGTAACACCTGATTATATGTAACGTGTCTTGTAGAAATACAAGAAACCACAGGAACTGACTCAGTATTATCAGCATTTGACGAGGAAGTACTTGGCTTCAAATTCTTATTATAAGTGACAGTATCGTTTGATGTTGCCTTCTCCCATAAGGAGCCATTACTTTCTGTACCCTTACTTATAGGATGCAACAGTACGTGATGTTTTTTTCTACAAATGCGACATTTATAATTACTTTGGCAGCTCTTGGCAGAGTGATTACTACCCAAGCAGCAAAAACATACATTGTTATTTAAAACAAAACTTCGACGTGATTCTACGGACTCGTTCATAAAACTTTTACAATAACTAAGCCTATGGTCCTCTGAACAAAACTGACAAACAATCTTTGATATGTGCATAGACTTGATTTTATTCATAGGCAGTTTGTTGCTTTGATGTTTATTTATACCTTTAGAGCCAGCCTCTAAAAACTCTATGGCACGATAACGATTTTTCAAAAACTCTTCAAATTGCTTATAGGTAGGTAGCTCAGAAGAACTATTATCAGTGGCAAAAAATTCCCATTGTCGTCGAGATTCCAAATCTAACTTTAAAGTTATAATATGAATTACGAGCACATCCCAAGTATCTGTACTTATACCTATATTATTCAATAACGACAAACAATCATTCGTTGTATCCAATAATTCTTTCAAACTACTAGCAGATTCACAAACAATATTCCTTTGTGATAACAATTTTTTCAAAATATGATGACAAATGTATTTTTTATTATTGTACCTTTCTTCGAGTAATTGCCAACACCTTTCATAATTACTTTCTGTGATCGAAATATTATTTACAAGCTGTTCAGCCTCTCCCTGTAAATAGCCTTTCAAGTATAGTAATTTTTGGACATTCCCTAATGCTTTGTTATTATGAATCAAAGAACAGAATAAATCACGGAAGGTATTCCACTCAGAATACCTCCCTGAAAAATTTGGAATATTCACTTTAGGTAGCTTAACTTGTGATAAGTTTGAACTAGCCGAGCCTGTTACACTCATTTTCTCATTACTTTCTTTACATGTCAGCGTGGACAGGATGGACTTAAGGTCCATTTTATATTCAAAATACATTTCCTCTGCCTTTTCATAAACATCATTTTTTACATATGTTGTATCGGCTAATTCACCCGACGACGATACAGAACGCATCAATTCCTTATGTCCGGCTGAGAACTCAAACCACATTTGTTCTAAAAGTTCTATTTTGCCGTCTACATAGTCTTTATTAATTCGACATTTAGGGCTCTTTTTGAAATTACTTTTTGCCTTAGTGAGCCGCGTATAGAGATCTTCTTGAGAATGAATTAATTTCTCCATTTTTTTTATCAAGTTAAATTATCAATTTTTCATAAACAGAAACAATCATTAACAATAAAAGAAACTTCGTTCCAACTCACAAACAAACAACATTAATAAGAGAAAATTTCTAAAAATTTTCTAAGTATTTGGCGTAACATTAAACTCTAACCGAAATCGGGCATAGGTTCCCCGTGCCTTCGCTTTTCTTAAAACTATTCTAAGTTCCTAAATCTACAACACAAATTTTTCTAAGTCCATAATAACACAAATAATTGTTTAAGTTAAAATTCACTAAGAAATAAGGTTCACTTTTCCAAGAATACCACTATTTGTTTAAAGTAAATTTCTTCATAGACATAAGGTCGAAAATTAAAGTACTCACAGTTCATCCGTTTCACTCACACAAGATGAAATCGTGCCGACTTGTCAAGCACGTAAATCCTCGTCACCTGGCTCCTCCAGATGGCACCACTGCATCAAATTTCCACCTTCAGTTGTATCCTCCACCAGCTACGTCACCAGCTCGTGGGCCTGACAGCACCCTTGCTGTCGGCTTGGTATCAGCGCTTCACGTGCGCCGCTCCAGCCACACGTCACGTTTGCAACAGCGATCCACTGTCCGTGACGTCTTTCAAACAAAAAACTTGCACCGCAGCTCCAAGTCCAAGTAAACTCCTTGGACAAATTTAATTATCCGACTAACGAAGGACCATGTTCAAGCCAAAATGACTCTTAAATCCGAGAGCTTAGGTGCAAAAGAATTAAATGAAACTAAGGTGGATTTTGTTTGACCATAGATTCCTTTAATAGTTTGGTGACGTTTTGCCTATATGTAGCTCCAAACAAATTTGCAAGCGTGATGAAAAAAACTACATCAAGCCAAAATGACTCTTAAATCCGAGAGCTTAGGTGCAAAAGAATTAAATGAAACTAAGGTGGATTTTGTTTGACCATAGATTCCTTTAATAGTTTGGTGACGTTTTGCCTATATGTAGCTCCAAACAAATTTGCAAGCGTGATGCAAAGAACTACAGCGCCATCTATTTTGACACATATGAACTACATTTTTTACATGCACAAATGGCGTATACAGTAGTTATCATGAACTGTGTAATAATAGTATACGAAATGTTGATTTTCCACCGGTTTTTGCCGAGTGCGGCCGAGGTTTATGTAGTTTAAATAGTCATAAAATTGTTTTAGACAACCTTTACCACAAAATTATTAATATTTTGAGAGACGCAGCAATTCAGACGAGAAAGCAGGTTCAAAAGAGAACTCGGACACGTAAAGTTCTGTGTGGGTGGAATCTGCATGTGTGTGAAGCTCACTGAAAGGCAAGGCTTAACTTTCAGGTCTGGGTATTGCATAACCGTCCTTCATCTGGTGATTTCTATGAACGGATGTGTGAATCTCGTAAGATATTTAAGGGTCGGCTGAAATGGTGCTTAAATAATCAAGAGCAAATCAAAATGGACCAAATTGCAAAGCTGAGATATGATAAAAAGTTTCGTAATTTTTGGAGATCTACTGGAAAAATGGATGTAAGGCCTGGCCTTTCTGCTTGTATCGATGGCAAAAATAACCCAGAAGAGATTGCAAATTTGTTTATGGAACACTTTAAGGTGCGGTCTCCGCTAGGTCCGGGGTCCATAGTATCTGGAGCTGGGCTCAGCGTTTGTGGTCCAAATATACGAAAAAGTCCATGGACACTTTGCGCGTGCAATACAATAATATCTTCAGGATGATGTTGGGACTGCCCCGCTTCTGTAGTGCCTCCGGAATGTTTATTGAAACTCGGACTGATGGTTTTCATGCCGTCTTGCGGAAAAAAGTTGCGTCCCTGATGTGTAGAGTGCGGAGCAGTAACAACACCATTCTGGAGACCGTGGCAGGAGATCCGCATGCACCATTTTGGAGGCATTCCGTGCGTATGATGACTGAAATAGGAGTTAATTATTCTTCTTGGTGTCGCTCGCGCGGAGTGCCTCTAAGGTACATGACCTATTGAAAAGCCATAAATATTTTCAATATGTAAATACTTATTATAGGCTACTAACACTTAGTTGTAAGTTATATTGTATACTAACATATGGATCTATGTTGTCTGCCAATAAATGATATTATTATTATTATTATTATTATTATTATATTGTTAATAATTTTCACTTGAGAAAGATTTATTTAATAAGTACTCTTATCCTATTTAAAAATAGCTTAGCGTTTCCATAAAAATAAGAGCATTTTTAGACAATCTATTAAAAACATGACATTAATAAAGAGGGAGATTGTCGTGAGGTACATATTTTATTCAAAGGATGCAAGTATACGAATTTATTATTTTGTCGAATGGTGTAATGATATGTTGTTGTTGTTTTTAATTAATTTTAATAAATTGTTATGCTTCCTTTAATTCTAAAAACTGAAGTTTGTAGTTTACATTTAAAATTAAACTATTAATTATTCGTATTACTATTTATTAATATTCTAGAAGGGCATCCAATATTTTCCAAAAGAAGCTGATTTTACTTAAATTATTTAAATTGCGCGCTAAACAAAAGTACCCGAAGTAAAAAACAGTATATACTTTCATTGATGTCAAGAATAATATTTTCTTTACTGATACGAAGAGTCCGTCAATTTATATGGTAAATTTAGAAAACATTGCAGGTGTTACAATAGTCATCTATCAAATGAAACAACCCAAGCCCATCACATCAAGTGCCTTTGATGGCAATGAGGTGTTAAACTGTCTCATCATGATATTTATGTAAGTACAGATAACAACTAATGCTTTATTACAAACATAATATCTTTTATCAGATAGATAGCGATAAAATGAGAGATGAATTTAAATATCATCACCTCAGTCTATCGAATAAAGCCTAAAGTAAAACAGTAGAAATGGAAAAAAACATAAAAAATAAAGTCGTCGTCATTACAGGCGCTTCCAGAGGAATTGGCTACAGTATTGCTGATACATTTTTAAATGAAGGCGCAAAACATTTAGTAATTTTAGACATCAATGAAGAAGTTGGTGAAAAGGCCGCTACCACGCTTAACAGCAAATTTGGTGCAAAAAAGGTGTCATTTTTTAAATGTGATGTTATAATTGATTTAGATAGAGTTTTCGATAAAATCTTGGAGAAATTCAAAACCATCGATATTCTCATTAATAATGCTGGAGTATTACATGAACAATGCATCAAGAAAACAATAGCGGTTAACACTACTGCTCTGATTGAGTGGACAATGAAATTCTGGGACTGCGCAAGGAAAGATAAGGGAGGTGCTGGAGGCACTGTGATAAACGTAGCGTCTTTATATGGGTTCCTTGTTGATCCATTTCTACCATTTTATAAAGCTTCAAAACATGCTGTTCTTGGCTTTACCAGGACAATCGGTCATAGAATTAACTACGATCAAACTGGTGTCAGAGTTATTGCGATTTGCCCGGGCTTTACAAAAACAGCATTGGTGGAAAACACACAGTTGAATACAAGTCTGGAATTCCAGAACGAAAAATTTATTAATTTTATGAACATGAGTGTATGGATGGAAGTTGGTGATCTGGCCAAAGCAGTTGCTGAAATGTTTGGGAAAGCTGACAGCGGTACGTGTTGGATAAAATTTGGAGATGAACCACTTACAGAACTTCGTGTACCTCCAGAATTTCGTTCTGAAAACTATATTAAAGGCGAACTTTAAATAAGTAATAATGCAGCTGTAATTAAAAAGAGATGCATAATATATCATTTGAAAAAAAAGCACTTTGGTGATAATAACGAGAATAGACTAATTTTTTCACTTAAATTATAAGGTAAAAGCATTAAATACCTATACTATTACTATAATCTTCACGAATTGCTATTACATTACTTTACATCAAAACATTTGATTTTTTATTAATGAATTTTATAGTTACAATTAATTAAATAAACGTTATGAGTAAGGCATTTTGTAACGAATATGAAAGGTGCTTATTTTAAGCATTTAAATGCTAGATTTAAACAGTTATGTACTATTTAAATCTAGCATTTAGAATGCAAATAGCAGCTAGAAATACTTCTTATAAAAAATTAATAACATTGCTAATCCAAGCACTTACAATCTTACTCATACTACACCCACCTATATTGAAAAGCTCAGTAAATGTGAGCTCAGTGGTGAGTAGAAACTGTCAAAACTATTCTGATAAATTCTCTCTTTACGATAACCTAAACTTTCTGAATATTCACTCTTTAACTTAAGTTAAGTTCTCTTACAGAAAGCTGCAAGTTAACAATATAATATGTCAACGGCAATCTGTTTAATTGAGGTATTATTTACAATACCTAGACTGTTAACTCAAAATTAGCATGTGTTATTATCACTCATGTAATTTACTCAATTTTAATTTGCCGCAATTTGACATGTTGCCTATAAACTGTCATCAGTGCATCACTTGCAAAATTTTCATGTTGTAACAATATTATTGCTCAAGAGATAAATTGTCGTTCATGTCTGCTCGCAATTTTGTTTAATCATATTGTTAATTTAAGTGTTTAACCCTTATAAAGAACAATTAGTAAAGTCAATGATTTTCAGTATTTTAGCCTTTATTCATTATTCATCATCAAGCCACCTAAACTTCGTTATCACACCTTTGTGAATCGAACCCGCCAGCGGAGATTCTGAACTTAGACAATTTATAGATGCCACAGGCATTCTGGGACGACTAAGCAATATATGAAATATTATTTTCTTATTATTTATTATTTTTATACTTTGCCTAGGCAATATAAAATTCATAATGATTGAATAGAGTACCTGCTGGTCCACCGGGAATGTGTAAATTAAATGGATTTTGGCCTGTATTTATCCTAACAATACCTGAACTAGCCTACCCTAGTAGGATATAATTTTATTATTCTCACCGAATGAACTACAGACCAATGAACGTTTGATCAAATCACAGATGGTTAGGTTAGTGTAGTGACCTACACTTAGCGCGAGTTTAGCCACCCTGATAGAAAATAAATAAATAATAATAAATAGAAGCAGATGGGATTCGAACCCGCACCCTCCGCTAGCCAGGCGGATGCAGTGACCATTATGCCACCGCGGCCCTAATCACCGTGTTGATTCTTCGCACCCTAATCAGCGCCATTCTTCGCATTGTAGGTAACCCACAATGTCAAACGAATACCTGTTGCGGCCCTAACGCCGTGCAAAATGTTTATGGGCAATGCCATAGACCGTTCACCTCTGGCAACCCCATCGTCTAGTATCATTTGCTGCAGTCTATGCCAAAGAGTAGTATTTACATTATGGTCTGTGCTTTTTTTACTTTTTCTTTTTACTATTTACATTTATATACGGGTTTTTTACATAAATTTTATTTCTACAAAACCGTTGTAAAATTTACTGAATAATGGTGCCAACCATTATGCCCTACTAGACATAAATTGGTAGCTATTGAGGGGAACTAACAATAATTGAAACGAGTACATTTACCAAGAAAGAACTTTAGAAATTTTTATGCCATACCTAACTACTTACGTGAATGGCGTTCGGAAGCAAGACCTAAGATATTAGGGATCTATTGGCGATTATTCAAGTCTGGGTCGTGAGGCAAAGCAAGAATATAATCTGACCGGATTAGTGAGGCCAGGAATCCTTCGCACCGCAGATCAGAATGCAGATAAGTACCCTTCCTTGACTTTCTACCTACTTTCCAACAACAAACCTTCCGAAAATACCATAAGAATCGTCTCTATTCAAGCAAATATCTCAATAAATACATTGTTTTAGCCATTTATTCAACTATTATTGTAGTAATAACCATGCAAAAATGAGTATAATTAATATTTTTTTATATGCAGGTAGGTAACCAGGTTCGAAAAGGTACTTAATTGTCGTTTTACACAAAATACTCCAATCATGTTCTAAATTTAGAATATATTTCAAATTCAATGTTGCAAAATATATAACTGTTTCATAAAATAAGATAGGCTGGCTGATGTTCATAAACATAACCCTTTGTTAATTGTGTGCGTCCAGGTCATGCTGTTAAGGATTGCCGCTTAGGTCCATGTAAGGAGTGCAAAGGACGCCATAACACATTGCTACATATTGTACAGACGTCAGTTGATAACAATAGCGCCAGTCAATCGGAATCACTTGTTAATTACTAAAATCGTCTAGACTATTCTAATATTCAAGTGGTTTTATCAACCGCTCTCATCAATGTGACAAATACAAACACTGGCAAAACTCAGCAAGTGAGGGTGCTGTTGGGTTGTGGCAGCAAGTTTTCCTTTATTAGTAAATCATTAAAAGAATCTCTTGAACTAAATTTAATTTCCATACAGAAGCTTAAGGTTATTGATTGGTAAATAATGTTAGAGAGCTATACTGCTACTATAAAATCTTTATGCAGCCCATTTAAAACTGATTTGTCTTGTTTGGTGCTTAATGAACTAACAAGCGAGCTACCAAAAGCTCCAAAAGGAAACAAAATTTCGTTACAAATTCCTAAACACATACAACTGGCAGATCCCACATTTGACCAACCACCTCCAGTGGATATCTTGATTGAAGCCGATTTATTTTGGGATTCAATAGGGAATCAAGAATGTTGACTAAGTCCATCAGGACCTAAGCTACGCAGTTTTAAATTAGGTTGTTTAGTATCGGGACCAGTTCATTCAAAGATAATTTCTATGAATATTCAAAACAATCATGCAATTCAAGTATCAAAGAAGATGATATAGATAAGTCATTATCTAAGTTCTGGGAGCTAGAGAAGCTCCCCAAAAATTTTATATTAGTGAACTTACATTAGAATTAGCGAAAAAAAGTATCATTAATTTAGAGAACAAATTCAAAAGAAATCCCATATTACATTGCGAATATACTATGTTTATAAAAGAGTATGCAGAATTGGGATATCTCTTTCAATCAGCTGTTCCCATACCATATCATAATTACTTTTTTGTCACCATTGTGTCATATAAACAAAAAGTGAGTCTACAAAGCTCAGAGTATTTGATGGCTCAGCTCCTTCTTCTTCGGGGCCAACACTGAACAATATTCTATTGGTGGATGGGTTATTCGGGATTCTGTTTTATCCATTTTGATTAGAGCTAGACAATATAAATACCTTCTTACCGGAGACATTGAAAAAATGTACCGACATCAAAGTTTATGATGAAGATCAAGATCTTCAGCTAATATTGTGGAGAGAGAATACTTCACAACCCATTCAAACGCGGCGACTAAACACTCTTACTGATGGCACAGCAGGTGCGAGCTATCTGAGCACAAGGTGTTTATTTCAAATTGGGAAGGAGCAGGACGATGAGCTAATAAAAAGTGTTAAACAGAAAGATTTGTACGTCGACGATTTAATAAAGGCAAGTTTTTTAATGACATTAAGGCGTTTCATAGCACGACGAGGGAAACGGGGTAAAACCAACAAAATTCCATGCAAATTAACAAAATTCCATGCAAATTATTGGCAATTACCTTCTAAATATGAAGAAATTACAACTTTATTTGCTCAAATAGAGGCTTTTTTTAACAGCCCACCCCTGTATCCCTTATCTCCTAATGACTTCCTACCATTGACTCCCGGATCTTTCTTAATAGGAAGGTCTCTCACTGTTTTGCCTTCACCAGCCTTAGAAGATGCAAAGGAATATACTTTGAAGCGGTATCAACGCTTAGAACAGATTCATCAACATTTCTGGAGAAGATGGTCTAAGGAATATATATCTAAACTACAGCAGCGCATTTAATGGAAAACCGACACTTCCAGCAGGAGCGAATGGAACAGCAAGAGTCACCGTTGTTAATACTATCAGAGGTTGCATCCGTAGACCATTGGTACGCTTATGCTATTTCCTCATCGGAGAATAACAAATTCATAAGAGTTGAAATAATATTTCAACGGGGCGGGAAGATGTTGCGGCCCTAACGCCGTGCAAAATGTCTATGGGCAACGCTAAAGACCGTTCACTTCTCGCTAAAGATCGCCTAATGTCATTTGCTGTAGTCTGTGCTTTTTTTACTTTCCGTTTTACTTTATATACAATTTATATACGGGTTTTTTACATACATTTTATTTCTACAAAACCATTGTTTGATTTAATGAATGGCACCATTGTGTCCTTCTACCTTTACAAGTATTAAACATTTAAAAGCAGAAGAAGAATATTGTATGGAATCCCGGATTTTGCAGATTACCGGTATATATCTTAAAACTCGTATAAATAAAAATAGTGAGAAGAGTTATTAATAAAAAACGCACTACAAGTCATACAAAAATATTGAGTATAATGTTTACAACGTTGCACCATTGTATGTAACAAATATAATATGGAATTATTATCCATTTAAACCACGTCATGCATGACCTTGATTTTGGTTACCGCCAAATCGTCAGTTAAAAATATTGCTGCCGTTTTGCATGGTGTGGAAGGAGGTGACCAAACGAAAGTGTAGAAAATTGGAAAAAAAACTTATTCAAGAGCGTCAGATATTGAGAAGGGATATTACATGAACCCTCCAGTTTCTCCTATTCAAAAGACTGTCAATTTGGAGCTAAAAGTCATGATCGTTTGTTGTTTTTTTTGCTGCCCTAGACGTTCGACACTGTATTACCCCGCTTATGTTATTTTACCGCGCTTGAGTAAATCCCAAAATCCCGGCTTGGGCCCCTGTATATCTACTAATTCCACAAATGAATTTACGGGGTTATATTAATCACAATGCAAATGCATTTACCTAGAAGCTTCCTGTGATGATAATGGTGACTACAGAAATAAAATGATGACTATTATCAAGAGTACTTAAATATATTGAAAAAAATTTTTTGATTGTTCAAATGAAAATATCACCTAAATTAAATTACTTTTTATAATGTGATGATTGGATAGATTAAAAAATAATTAAGTAACAGATATTGGTTTTTAGTATTTTATTTTAAGTGCTTACTTCTAATATAATGAACATTGTAGAAGTAAGTGTGTTTAATGATTGTTGCTTAATCACGTAAGAACAATTGAATAGCTTTCTATGAACTTACGCACACAGATAATTTTCTTAAAATTTCAGATATGGGTTTGTATTTTAATGTCTAAAAGGCCGTAAGATACATTCAACCCATAAAAATGTAAGAAACCTGTGGGATAATCAGAGGCTAACATATCTATAGTAATGTGTATATATTGTAGGTGATCGTATTAGTCAACAACGCCCACAGGATTTTCTTTTATTTTTGTCTGTGTCAAAATTTCTCTGGGGTTTTAATTAATTCAAAAGCCTACACAGCCCTGCGTTTGTGTTACTTTATGGTCTACGCTAATGAGGTCTTAATTTTTAAATTTTGTTCCTAAACCTCTTTTGCTGGTTTTGAATCTTCACTTAACCATGCTGTTCCACTATCAGCGTTCTCAAAAACATATGCTATGACATTGGACACAGCTTCCACTTCTTGCCAGGTTTCAGTTTTTAACATTTCCTCGAAATCCTTCTGCACGCTTGGGTCATCGTTCATTTTCGTTTTCGTCGATAACTTAGTTCTTGTAGCTCCTGGACATACTGCAACTACCCTGACGCCGTATTTCTTGTAACGGTAAGAATGGCCAAAACTTCTCGTGAACCCAATCACAGCAAACTTTGAGCCTTGATATATTGGCATAAATTGATCCACCCGGAAACCATATTGAGACGCTATGTTGATCACTGTTCCACCATTACCGCCCTTGTCCTTCCTCGTTCGGTCAAAAAATCTTATCGACCATTCCATAACCGCTGTCACATTAACCTCTATAGTCTTCCGAAGCATGTATTCGTTGCAGATACCCGCATTATTCACTAGAACGTCAATGAAGCCATGTTTGTCAAATATTGTGTTTGTAACAGGGTCAAGGTCAGATGTTATATCACATTTGTAGAATTCTGCTCTGCCTTCTCCATATTTAGATTTCAACGTTTCTGCTGAAGCTTGGCCTTGTTTCTCATCAATGTCAAGTATAATGACCAGACGAGCTCCCTTTTCTAAGAATTTCTCAGCAGTAGAAAAACCGATTCCTTGAGCTCCTCCGGTTATTACAACTTGCTTTTTTTCTATATTCCTCTCCATGACGCCTAAGCTTAACTGAAAAAGACGTAGATCTATCCATTTATATAGTACAGAAAAGATTAGATATGACTCTGCCCAGTAAGCAAAAACGAATGTTGACGTGATGATGACGCATTCACATCAATAGTTGCGCAATCAACGGGTTATTTTACATTAAGTTGTGTAATAAAGAGTACATCGATATTAGGTATTAGGGCACCAAGCCTATTTTTCTATAATTATATATTTGTAACTTGGTGGCGGCAAAGAGTAAAGTACTTCCTACGAGCGAGGTCTCTGTCCGCGGTCACCGGTGGTTTAACAGTACACCAGTGGTTCAACTTGTAGATACTTAAAGACGTCACAAAAAAATAGTCCCGTTTTGACATTTGTGCGCCCATGAAGTTTCATATCCGAAATTAGTTCTACACTTGAAAAAAAATTGTTCTTCATTGTTATTAGAGATGTGCAGTTTGTCATAAAATTTATCGAATCGGTAATTTGGGAACGTAGAATTAAATTTAACAAAATCATATTAGGGGGATTTTCCCCGGCAGTAATTTTACGCGGCGAGGCTGAAAACAATAATATGAAATTCAAAACACACATGTTTTTTATTTTTGTTTCGTAAAAGCCTTCATAATCTGTATGGGGTAATATTTATTTACCGCATAAACCACATTTTAATGGAGAACTAAATATCCTTCCATTTTCTACGTCTGGTGAAGCATCAGAAACCGTTTTCTTAAGGATGTGTTAATTATGTATAACATGGAGTAATTTTTATACAGTTATCTTTTTTAAAATCATGACATACACTAGTTATAGTTATTTCAACTACAACGGACCGAACAGTCCGCGACTAATTGATAATTTAGGTGGGTATACTATAACGCGTGCTAACTTGTTTATAAGTTATAAAGAATCACCGTTTACGGTTCCTAGCATCTCACAGTTGCACTCTGCCCAGTGACAGTGACGAATGCGTTCTAACCTGCTGCGATTTTACGCCAAAAATGTAAATTTTAACAGGTATCGGCAATCTGTCAATTTTTTTATAAATTTTGGTGTTTACGTAGTAATGTTCTCATGACAAAAAATATCTAGTTTAAGCTTGGATAGTTAGGGTTTAAGGCCCTTTTTTCAAATGAGAGAAAAATATTCAACATCATTCTAATACTTTCTTGAAAATTAACGGGTTTGACCCGTTTCTAATTTTGCTTTTGCAATTTTGGTGGTAGACTTACAGCCGCCAAAATTCTTTTAATACCCCAAAATATAAGATAGGTTATCAGGAACAAATAAATTCTATATAAGATTAAAAAGGAATACCGAAACGAGTTGACCTATGCCCCAAATAGCCCAAGTTCAGATATTTCAACCAATTCAGCTTATTTACGGTCCACTTGCATCAAAGTTCTTAATTCAAATTAAGGCACAATCATGTTTAAGACATCATTCCATCACAAAGATAGAATTAGGCTAAAACATGATTAGCTTTTAATTTTGAATAGTTAACTTTGGTGCAAGTGGTCTTAAAAAAATTAAAAAGCTATCAATAAAAGAAGTCTACTGAAATAATGAAGCTGAAACAAACTATTTTACAAATAAATAAGAAGAAAGATATGTACATAAAAAGATTTTATAGAATGAAAAATCAAGTGATAAAATGTAGTCCTAAAATTATACAACAAAATCAAAAGACCAGTCTTAAAGAAAAGAGAATTCGTAACTAATTTGCAAAAGATGAAGATGATGATAGTCGTATGTGCCCAGTAAAATGAGATTGTATTACAAGAACCAAGCCAATAGCAAAAAATGTACTTAACCGATTCTTTAAAGAATCTTCATTGCAAATACCTTGAACTGGATACCCACCTCTTAGTTATGTAAACACCAGATTAAAACTGTTTTGAGTCGTGTTTTTTCTTCATTTCCTTCATGTTTGCGTTATGATGCATCTGCAGTGTAGGCTCATTTAATTCCAATTTTCAGTGTAATTGAAAACGTTGCTCCCAAAATTTCTACTATTCATCTTATAATCACATTCTGTCTGATTAATACAGGAACATTGTTTTTTTTTTCATATCCACTAGCTATATACCTAAATTAATTTGCTTCGTATACCAGGCTACTCAGAAAGTATTGCGAAAAAACGTTTTATGTATAAGACACTGGCCACTTGTAATTATTGTGAAAACGTCGATTATTTAAAAGTAAAAATACCCCTGTTAAATTTTCAAATTTCGCTCCGCATTTTTTCAAGATCCGATTCGATTTTTCTTGTCTCATTAAAAAATGGATAAACATTTTCGTGCTATGATTTTTATGATTTTTAAATTCAAACCTGATGAGTCATTTGATCGATTCCGAACTGCTTTTATGGCTGAAGGACCTTCAAAAGCAACCATCTACCGCTGGTGTAGCGAGTTTAAACGCCGTCGTCTTACTTTGGGGGATGAACAAAGGAGTGGTCGTGCTACCACGGCTGTCACCGAAGAAAGTGTGCTGGCAGTAAAAAAATTAATTCAAGAAAACCAACGAATTACGTACGAAGCGATTCAGCATACTCTGCAGATAGGTTCAGGAAGTGTTTAAAAGATTTTGCACAAGCACCTTTGCGTAAAGAGGATAGTTTCTCGCTGGATGCCGCACAACCTCTCCGAAGCTCAGAAGCAGGACCGTGTGGATTGGTGCAGTGATATGATACAAAAATTTGATGCAGGTTCGTCACGGCGCTTTAACGATATTGTGGCAGGTGACGAATCCTGGACTTATCAATACGATCCAGAAACAAAGCGTCAGTCGACAGTTTTGCTGTTTCAAAATGAACCAACGCCTACGAAAGTGAAACGATGCAGGAGCGCAGGGAAAATTTTGATCGCTAGTTTCTTCACTTTATCGGGGTACCTAATTTAAATTCTACTTCGAGACCAAAGCAGCATCAACGCTGAATAGTATAGCACAAAATGCCTGCCAGAAGTTTTTTCTGCAGTGAGCAACAAGCGACCTAACACCGGGCTCCGCGGGGTTCTTCTTCACCACGACAACGCGCCCGCGCACTCTGCGATCAAAACGAAGGACTTCCTGGACTCCACACCAGTCAGTTTTGGGACACCCTCCTTACAGTCCTGATTTGGCTGCGTGTGACTTCTTTTTACTACCTAAAATAAAACTCAGCACAAAGGGATACAGTTTTCATCGCCGGAAGAAGCGCTAGCAGCGTTTGAGAAGGCCGTGGAAGAGGTGTCTGCGGAGGACTGAAAAAAATGTTTTGATAATTGGTTCAGACGCATAAAACTTTTATAGAGGCTGGTGGAGAGTTTTTTTAAAAGATTTAATAAAAATGTATTTTTCATAGAAGTTAGATTTTTAGTTTCTCAATACTTTATGAGTGTCCCACGTATATATTATATAATAAAAAGATCAGCTGATGCACTAGTTGCCGTCGAAAATGACGTAATATTGCTAATATGGAAAGTTTCATTGGTAGTTTAACGAAAACTATTAAAGGGATTAAAATTTAAATATTAAACACAAAGATATACCTAAAATAGTATCAGCAGAAGCTTCTATTATCCTATCCTACTAATAATACTATACCTACTTCATTCCTACTTTCTTACTATAATATATTTACTTTATTAAATAAATGCGAAAGTTTATGTGGATGTTTGTTACTCTTTTACGCTAAAACGGCTGATGGGATTTGAATGAAATTAGGCATATTTATGTCATACATATTTTGGCATTAAATCTAGGTGATTGTCACATAGCATACATTTTGTCCCGGAAATAAATTAGGTTCCGATGCGATTCTAAAAAAATAAACTTTAAGGCGGACCAAGTAGCTAAAGTTAAAGCCAGTCAAAATAGATTAAATCATTTAGTTACAGGCCACACAACGCCTGAGTGATTAACAGCGGCAACAACTTCATACGACGGCACATCGGCACATCTAATATGTCAGATCATTGCGGTTTGAAACTCGATCATCGCAACATCTGATTTATCATTGTTGCAAAGATTTTTATCATTATTTAAAAACAAGTATTGATATCTCATCTAAAAAAATATTAAATACGTTAAATTCACTAGGCGACAAATGGGATACGCTTATTATTTATATGTACTTAATAGTGTTACATTAATTTATACAGAAACAATGAACCTTAAACTAAAAACCTTAATAAATATAATATAATAACTAAAATATATTACTAAAAGGAGTCCCTTTAGGCAAGGTTCCGAAGATACTGGCAGTGTTCCCCCTTTGAATAGCTAGACTAATTTAACGTTAGAAAATGAATGGCAAAGTTTTGCACAAAAATTTGATTCCATTAAATAAATAATAAATATTTCCAACACTCACACCAATTAGCCTAGCCCCAAAGTAAGCACTGTAAGGCTTGTGTTATGGGATACTAGGGTAACGGATAGAATACATATACTTTACATATATAAAGAAAAACACATTTATATAGAAAAACATATTAAACATCCATGACTGGAGTACAAATGTTCGTGTTCGTCACACGAACATCTGCCCCCACCGGGATTCGAACCCGGGACCTCTCGAGCCGGCGACGCCATGAAAGCTGGCGTACAAACCACTGGGCCACGGAGGAGGTCGAATTAAATGATTTCAAATACCAAGACGTACTCTTCTTCGTCCATTTGTAGAAATTCAACTACATTTATTTTATTTCGCGTCTCAATTGGCACACGCTGCTGCAATCTATCTTAGGTTTAGGTCATCCTGACCAGAACTCTCAACGGACCTAAGATAGTAGCCTTATAGTATAGTTATAGTAGCCTTAATAGGAATTAAGGCTACTCTGCTCCAAGTCGCTCCAGTTAAGGCAACCACCATTCCACGACTCGAGCTCTGCGGCTCATTACTTTCAGCACGTTTGAGCAACAAAGTTAAAGTATTAAGGGCTCTGCGTTGCTAAATTGGGTCTGTATTTTATTGAATTGACTCAACAGTGGTTGGGGTGGTTATCGTCTCATTCATGTGATCTGAAAACCTTTGTTTCGAATCGCGTGAGTGAGATCCAACCTGGACCACACGCGGTGTTTGGGGACACGTTCTTAGAGATAAAAACCCAGCAGACCTAGCATCTCGAGGAGTAAACCTAATCTAACCTAATCTATGCAATCTGCTCTTCTCTGGTGGGAGGGTCCATCTTTTCTTACGGAGGACCCATGTGGCTGCCCTCAGAACATAGGATCACAAAATATTCTGGATCTCCGTTAAACCAAAAATGACAAATCCATTAAAATAAATCCTACAAAACTATTTAACCATCAGCTGCGGATGTGTGCGGTGTTGTGGAGTTTGACAGAAATTCAAGCTTCACAAGACTTCAGAGGTCCACTGCTTACGTCTTGCGTTTCATATACTTACAATTTAAAAAACAAAAAACCTAAATTTACAGGTTCCTTAAATCCTGATGAACTAGACAGTGCTCTAAAAGTTTTGATAAAATAACATCAGAATGAATGTTTTGCAAGCGAAGCTTTTAATTTTCATTTGGGGATTTTTGATTTAATTAAGCTTAAAATGAATGCTAGAGTATTTTTAATTAAGGCTACTTAGCGTGGGGAAATTGTTTTTAGCATGAAAAATTAACAAACAAACCAATTTTTATTAATTATTGTATTTCCAATACTTAAAAGTATTGAACGACAAATTTAGATTGATATGTAATCGACTGTATCAACTCTACAAGTTAGTCTGCTAACACTGTCAAAAAAGGTTCTTTCAATGTAATCAAAAATTTTGTCGTAAATTAATATTGTTTCCAAATAAAAACGTAATCTAAAAAGTGGTGATAAAGAGAACTCACAACCATGACTTCCTTCACGAAAATTGTTTGTGATTCCGAATTTAAAATGAAATAGAATCACTGGCGAAATTTCGTTTCAGAGAAAAAGAGTTAAGCTCCTGCTTCTAAGCGTTATCGGAAAATGAACAATTTGAAATTTTGGAGAGTGCCTCTCTGAGCGCACTGTCAATAATTGACAGTTGCCCTGGAAAAAGCCAAAAATGAGTGCTTCGTAAAAAATATATGAATTTTGGGGCGAAAGCGCAAAAATGAGTTAAATAACTAGTCTGGCCATAAATAGTTTTATATAAAAACTTCTATTTTTGAAGTAATACTTCTTTAGGCGCGTTATGAAAAAATGATGAGAGTGAAATTTTTAGATGCGCGCGCATCACTGTAACCCAAAAGTAACAGCATGAAGTTGGCCGCGGGCGCGTTATAAAAAAATCATGTGAGTGAAATTTCGAGATGCGCGCGCATCACTGTAACACAATAGTAACACCATGAAGTTGGCCGCGGGCGCGTTATGAATGTTAGTGTCTAATAATGGTGGATTATTAACCACTAAGTGGTTAATAATCCACCATTATTAGACATCTGTTCGAAAGGTACTTTGAACGATCCACGGAGCTCCATAAGATGATCGCGTTGTCAAAAACAATGTTGGCACGCTCGTCGCCTCTGATCACTGTTTTCATATTTATAATATTTATCCCCATGTTTCTAGTTTCTATATAGACACAACGTGTTTTAGTTACTTACAAGTGCTAATTACATATGGACTAATAACTTAAATTCAGTAGCGATTTTAATTGAATATTTTGAATATTTATTTAATTTTTCAAATTAAAACTGAATTTAATTGACTGTGTTAACTATCCTTTTCCAGTCCTTTTATTATTTTATTGTAATTATTAATTATTTGCATGCAATTAAAAAATATTTTTAATGATGCTAAAGAAGTATAACTTCTCACGCGCGTACATAAGTTACACGCATCCATTTTTTCTTTTCAACTTTTAAATTATTTTGAATTTGTAACTCATATACTATTTTAAAAACTTCTTTCGGTTTTGCGCCATTTCACATATTATTTCGTGTTCATTACAAAATTACAATATAGAATTGGGTGTTAAAGAAAATAGGATTGCAGTGATCGCCTTGCACAAAGTGGGTATGGAGCCGTCGGTCATATTCCAGACACTTCAAAAGCTTGTTATCAGCCGTATGTTCGTATAACTATCAACTATAAATATACTATCAACAGATACAACAACACTTCGTCTGTAGAAAACAAGAAAGGATCGGGGCGGCCGCGTCCTATTAGAACTGTTAATGCTGTTAAAGCCAGAATTCGTCGAAACCCCGTTAGGAAGCAAAAAATGTAATGGCGGGAAATGAAGATTCCCGCTAGAACTCTGTCGCGTATTATAAAACAGGACCTGAAGCTCGGTGCTTATCATCGATATACAGGACATGCCCTAAATCAATCTTAACAATTAAAGAGAGTGTATAATCAAAACGCCTTCTGTCGCGGTACGCAGGTGAAAAGCACAGAAATATCCTCTTCTTTGCTCAAATGGTCGGAATGGTACAACGTGGTCATCATCCTGCGTCAGTGATGGTTTGGTTGGGTGTGTCTTATCAAGGAGTCACAAAACTACATTTTAGTAAACAAGGAATGAAAACTACAGCCAAAGTGTATCAAGATAAAATCTTGGATCATATTATTAAAACCTCCCAGCAATACACTTTTTAAATTTATACCGTGGACTTTCCAGTAGGATTCTTCACCTGGTCACAAGGCACGAACTACCCAAGCCTGACTTGAAGCCAACGTTCCATACTTTATAAGAGCTGAAGACTGGCCCTCATTTAGCCCAGACCTCAACCCTTTAGGCTTCAAATTATGGTCAGTTTTAGAGGACATGGCCTGCTCTAAATACAGCGACATTGAGTCTTTTAAAAAAATCTTTAGAGCAAGCAGTGGCGAAATTTCCCTTGGAAACAGTGCGTAAATCCATAGATTCGTGGCCAAACAGATTAAAGGCCTGTTTAAAAGCCAAAGAAAAGGTGACCATTTCGAAAAGAATATTTTTTTATTTTTTGCTGAGACTTTAATAAATATGTAAGTATAAATTTCAATATTATTACATTACTTCATTTAAAAAAATGCATTTTCATTTGTAACAGAACTTATAGCTGGACTAGGTAGCTATAAAGCCATGTGCGGGTTAATTTTCAACATTTTTTCCGAGGAATGCTGAAATTTAGAAATTTGTTTATTAATAAAGATAAGAATAATATCATCAAAAATCGGGGCACCTGAATGGAATAAATAGCTCACATTTTGAAAATTTTCAATTAAGATCATAATTTGTTTTGAATTTATCAATAATGACGTGAAAATCTGAAAGAAAGGTTAAACCAATTAAGTTGGCTCCGTAGAAGATCTCAACAATATCTTCATTAACTTCGCCGGATAGCATTAAATATACCAATAGAGTTATAATGTAATAAGGCTCTGCCAGCATCACCAACTCAATCGGAAATGAGGTCTTTTAAATGTTGAGGTGAAAGCCCATCTAGACCAATGACTAATTGGCAGAGCCATTTTTGAAGGATAGTATTGCAGCCGAGATGTCTACGTCTTTAGTTATTAAATGGGGAGCATTTTGTGTTAAATCTGTGAAAATATTAGAATGTGAATAATCTGTATTCCCGATATATCTATCATCTGTCTCGATCTTCTAACTCGTTAGGCTCTCGCTTTTCTTAAACCTCAGAAAAAATGTCCGCGGCACTTGGTGCAATTCCATATGTAAGTATCACATTCGGTGATGGTACTTTTGGGACATACTATGTTAAATGAAACCAACCAGAGAGACGAATCCGCGGATAGGCGAATGATTGCGTTCTTTGAATAAATCTGGAGACGTGACTAGTTTATGTAGTGTGTGTGTGTTTACTATATGGAACATCATCCCTCTTCCACTGTGTTACTTGTACTACCATAAAACAAAAAGTAGCTAGAAAGACAGTTCTTGCCATCCTCGGAAAAAACTAGACGTTTCACTATTAATTTCGACAATATGTGTCTTTCGTGACGAATAAATTTTAAGTGAAACTGTTAAAACTGCATGAGAATAGAGTCAATGTGGGTGTGACAGAAACGACGCTTAGTTTGACTCTGTGCTTGAGCACGGCGGTAACGTAATTTGTGCCTTTACTCATTAAACTATGTTTACCTCGCGCAAACCACCAATAATAGACAGGTAGCTCCCTAAATGTTGCCCGAGAGAGCCACATGGCAAATTAAAAGAAAACTAAGGATGTAAATGAAAGATTTTATGGGTTTACGGTCTATATTGATATAAAAGTCTCACTGGTACAAAAAAAAATGGATGCGTGTAACTTATGTACGCGCGTGAGAAGTTATACTTCTTTAGCATTATTAAAAATATTTTTTAATTGCATGCAAATAATTAATAATTACAATAAAATAATAAAAGAACTGGAAAAGGATAGTTAACACAGTCAATTAAGTTCAGTTTTAATTTGAAAAATTAAATAAATATTCAAAATATTCAATTAAAATCACTACTGAATTTAAGTTATTAGTCCATATGTAATTAGCACTTGTAAGTAACTAAAACACGTTGTGTCTATATAGAAACTAGAAACATGGGGATAAATATTATAAATATGAAAACAGTGATCAGAGGCGACGAGCGTGCCAACATTGTTTTTGACAACGCGATCATCTTATGGAGCTCCGTGGATCGTTCAAAGTACCTTTCGAACAGATGTCTAATAATGGTGGATTATTAACCACTAAGTGGTTAATTATCCACCATTATTAGACACTGACATTCATAACGCGCCCGCGGCCAACTTCATGGTGTTACTATTGTGTTACAGTGATGCGCGCGCATCTCGAAATTTCACTCACATGATTTTTTCATAACGCGCCCGCGGCCAACTTCATGCTGTTACTTTTGGGTTACATTGATGCGCGCGCATCTAAAAATTTCACTCTCATCATTTTTTCATAACGCGCCTAAAGAAGTATAACTTCAAAAAACATATACAAGCTCCCGATAGCGTTCGCTTACATGGGTTCAAGTGGTGGGTGTGTATTGGGCTGCAAAAAGTAAAAGTTACAGTGAGAAAAAAATAGCCTTATATCGCGTACGCTGCGGAAATCTATAACCTTACAGCCTTTCTCGATAAATGCACTGTCCAATACAAAAAGATTTTTTCAAATCGGAATAGCAGAGCAATTTTGCATTCGGTACAACGGGTTCTAAACTACGCAACGAATTTTTAACTTGGAATGGAAGATTCATTATTATTATGAAGAAAGTCATTGTGTAAAATACGAGCCTTTGAACAAAAACTAAGTCTACACTACAGCTCTAAGCCGAAGCAAAGCGAGGGCGGGCCACTAGTTATATTATAAATGAGATTGTTTGTAACTAAATCACGCAATAACGGCTAAACGGATTTGAAAGTAATTCGGCACACTTATAGTTTATTATCTGGATTGAGACACAGAATACTTTTCATTTCAAAAAAATGGAATTTCCTAAGGAATTCTCAAAAAACTAAAGTAAACGCGGACGAAGTCGCGGGCGGCCACTATATAATGATATGTATACATTATAATAGGTACACAATGAAGAATATATCACATTTCAGGCAATTATACCGTTGTTATTCAATTTATGTAATATCTCTAGTACGAGAGTATGATAAGATATCAATAAGTTACTTTTGGTGTTTAAAAAATGCATGAAGCCGTTATCAAAGGATAAAGTTCATCTCTGACCTCATTATCTAATCTAATATTTCACATATAAATTGAGTTGCTGCAAAGTGTTTTCATTTCAGTAAATCATAGTAAAGTGAGTGTATAACTACAAAACATGGAGAGAAATCCGGCAAATAAAGTAGTAGTAATCACCGGAGGAGCTCAAGGAATTGGATATTCCATTGCTGATAAATTTTTGGGGAAAGGTGCTCGTGTCGTCATTTTAGTTGACATTGATGAGAAGCAAGGTCCAGCTTCAGTAGAAACATTGAATTCCAAATATGGAGTAAACAAAGCAGAATTCTACAAATGCGACGTAACATCTGATCTTGAAGTTGTTGCCAATAAAATCTTTAGCAAGTACAGCAACGTTGATGTTCTGGTTAACAACGCTGGCATCCTTAATGAGTATAAGCTCAAGCAGACTGTTGCCATTAATGTGACAGCACTTATGGAATGGTCGTTTAGATTTTTCGAGCAAATGAGGAAGGACAAAGGCGGTAAAGGTGGCACCATGATCAACTTGGCATCAATTTATGGGTTCCGGGTGGATCCATTCTTACCTATCTACCAAGCGTCAAAGTTTGCTGTGATGGGGTTCACTAAGAGTTTTGGTCATTCTTACCGTTATCAGAAATACGGCGTGAGGTCAGTTGCAGTATGTCCAGGATTTACAGAAACTATGTTGACAACGAATGTGAAAATGAACGATGACCCAAGCGTCCAGGAGGGTTTCGATGACATGTTGAAAACAACACCTTGGCAACAAGTAGAAGCAGTGTCGAATGCTGTAGTGGAGGTGTTCGAGAAGGTTGACAGTGGAACGGCATGGCTGATTGAAGGTTCAAAGCCAATAACACAGGTCTAGTCAGTATGTAGAACTTAAATTTATTTATTGAATGATATTATGATGATTGTATTGACTAATTGAAATTTGATTGAAATAAAAATTTCATTCAAGTAAACATATTTTTCTTAAACCTGTTTAATGATTCTCAGTATTTTTAGGGTTCCGTACCTCACAGGCACACTCGGTTGTCGGTCTGTCACAGTAGATTTGCTCGAAGCCTACTGTATCGATCGCTTTGAAATTTCGTACATATATAGATATATATGTCTGGGGCCCAAACACGGACGAATTAAGTACCAAATAAATAAATTCTGTGTATGGGGGGTCTACTTTTAGTGGGTGAAATGAAACGGCTCAATCTAAAAGTTTCAAACATATATTTTACAAATGTAAAATGAAGAAGTTCTTTAAAAAATATTTATGAAAATAGATGATTGAGAAATTGACCTGTCCGATAACTGTGGCTAACTATACAATGTATGCGTACAAACTGTCAATTAAATATAAATAATAAATAAATAAATATTTCCAACACTCACACCAATTAGCCTAGCCCCAAAGTAAGCATTATTAGGCTTGTGTTACGGGATACTAGGGTAACGGATAGAATACATATACAGTTCATATATAAGTATATATAGAAATACATATTAAACATCCATGACTGGAGTACAAATCTCGTATTCATCACATAAACATCTGCCCCCACCGGGATTCCAACCCGGGACCTCTCAAGTCGGCGACACCATGAAACCCGGCGTACAAACAACTCGGCAACGGAGGTCGTCAAAGCATAATAAAGCATAACTATTCGAAACAAATTAAGTAGTAGGTCAAGATCTGAAGGTGGCAACCTGGAAAAATCGAGGGAACTCTTTAAACTTTTTATGAACGGATCTTTAGTAATTTGATATGTTTGGTAGTATATTTATTTACAGTATTACAATACATACATAGAAAATGAAATTACAATAACCTAAAAACTACTTAATGTATAAAATTGTTACCTTAACCTAGTTACGAATAATTTAAAATTTACAAAATAAAAAATATGACACCCCCAGCGCCGCCGTCAGGAATGGTGCCCAATAGACTGGCAGCATTGCCACATTGAATGGCCAGGTTGATCGTTTACCAAGATAGCTGCCAACATTTTGGTCACCAGTTACTTCGGTGAGTTTCTTTGATAAATCCTTAAAAATGGAACGAGAGCTTGGACCCCATGGACCCATAGTATCAACAACAAACGGCACAAATATATAGTTCTCACTGAGAGCTGAATATTTGCACCGCTTGGAATACTCAGTAGCGGCCGCCGCCGCCCCCACAGCAGGGAGGTGCTACCTGTATGGCACGGAGCAAGCGTATCCGCGCAAGTTGCGTCCCATACAAGAGGACGACTCTGCTTCCAAGGAATAAGCGTCATCCCGTCAGACCTCTTGCCATCGTCACGAAAGATACCGGTAGGCTCAAGGACCGCTGGCACGTTGACTGCGACAAGAATTCTGCGGATGACGTCATTGATGCAGGCATGGCAGTGGGACGACGACGACTGTTAGTGTTTTCAGAGTGATCTTTTAGCTTCTTCTGAAAGTGCCACTGAACCAAGCTCTACCTTCAGCCAATATTGGAAGTTTGCTTGGCAAGAGCACTCTGTCTCTGGCAATATCGCTTCGACTTGGTGTTAAGATGAATCATCCCTATCGTTGGCGTTGCGATACTTGTGTTGGTGAGTTGGGACACCATGCTCTCTCACACCAAAAGAGCGCTGGCTGACATCACAAAAGAACTAAAAAGGTCAATATATGACCACTATTTTATATTTACCTAATTAAAGTAATGTTTCATTGATTAACGCATTTTGGTTTTTATTTCTCCTTTATTTTCCCAAATACTCCTAAATACTTAGCCTTAACGGGGAATGCTGGAATAAACGAAATTCATTTGTATCAAAAGCTAACATTTGAAGAATTTGATTGATGAGATCCCTACTCGCGACCTGCTACTAGAAAGGATGTCGTAAAGCCCGTTAGTGTTGTGTAAAGTATAATGAGGAGCATTGTTAAAGGTGTATGCCAGGTGGGAGGGAATGGGGGCGGCTAAAAGCTTTGTAACATTAGTTCCCATCAACCGAGTTGGAGACTTACCAGCGCGGATACATACCGGCCTGTAGGACAGGGCGCTTGTTCGACGTACAATTGCGATTTATTATGGTGCCTCCACAAACAGCCTACATCAGCTTGAGGAGGCCTGTTTGTGTTGGGTGATTGTGATCGGCTTTTGGCATTTTGTTTGACGTGTTTGGCGTTTTTAGCAAACACCAATCGTGTGGAGGCACCAGTAGACTAATCTATTTGCAGTTTTTTTTTTCATAAAATACCAAATCTGTACAGATTCTTTACCGAGAACTACTTCTTGAGTGGCTCGGTTTCGGTGCGGTATCGTTTCGTTTTGGGTGCGGAAACGACGGGTCGGGGGGGTCGAATGATTCGGTAGCACTCAGCCTCGGTAGCACTTAGTACACAGAGAGTTGTGTATCTGAATCTGTACTAAAACTACTCAGTGAGCAATCTCTGATTTACATGCACTTTGTAAAGAATATCTCGATTCTGTACCGAATCTGTACACTGCGTTACAGAAACGAGAAAGAAACGAGCCCGCACCAGCAAGGTGAGTAAGGCGCCTAGAATAAGCATAAGCGGTAGTATCTTTTGATTGAGCTGACTTCTAAGAATACAGACCGCAAGTAAGAGATATTAAATTCGGTTTGATACCTTCAGAGGTTCCTGAGCAAAAGGGTATTTATAGACAGTTAGCCGAACGGATTGATGAAAGGACAACAAAATTCTGGGTTCCGTTTTTTTTTGTTTGAGGGAAGAAATCGTATAACCCACATTACATATAAATGCTACTATATTATAAAAACACTCATTTATCATATTACAATAACTCAAGGCGTAGTAAACACTTATCAGCGTAAAAAATTCTTGGATGTATCACGAAAAGATATGAAATAATAAAGGTTTTCAAACATCATTATATAAGTACTTACAATCAGAGATTTATCGCGTGTTTTTGTTCGGCCACACTTTCATAAAATAATTATTTTTAGTTGGAACACTAGCATGTAATAAGGTCAAAATGTTCAGTTCGAAAATTAGCGTTGAAACTTTCCCGTGGATCAAGTGGAACAGTGGTATGTGAACCAGTTTTCAAGGTGGGTAAACATCTGGACGCTTGGCGCTCTAGCACCATGCGTTATGCGCGTTTTCTATTTCTTGCGTACGAGAAAGATTTGGAACGAACTTCCCTCAACGGTTTTTCCTCTTCGCTATAATATGGGGGTCTCAAGAGGTGGCAAAACCTTTTTTTTTTAAAGTGGGCTAGGCATTAATGGTATCCTGGTGATGCAAGTGGCCATGGGCGGCAGTGACCACTTACCATCAGATGGATACCAGCTCGTTTGCCTGCTTATAATAAGGTGTCCCCGGCTGGGAGATTGTGCGTGTGAATCATGAAAGGGGCAAGCAAGTGTTTGTATGATGAATGCGACTGTTTCGACCTGAGTCATGGCTGTTTAAATTATTAAAATGAATACAACAAAGAAACATTTTCAAATTAGGTGCAGTTTGGTTCAGTGTAACTTTTAGCGTTTCTTATTATCGTATGTATTGAGATATTTGATAATAACCTCTTTGTAAGGTTATCATTTAGCGTTTCTTATTTTATAGTGGATTTATTATATAAGGATTACCATCTATTTTCTCCATTTTAAAGATAATATAGAAAATTAGGAGTCATGATATAATTTGTATTTAAAACGTACTTTATCCACTAACGGATGGACGATGGATAGGTAGCAGACGGACATGGAGGCATAAGTAATAATCACAAGTACACACATTCACACGTCATCCGAGATCGCAGTGTGTAGCTCCGTCGTCTCGCATCGTAAACCGACTGCTCCCACAAAGTTGTTCTTAAACTTTTATTATGCTATGTTTGTGTATGTTGCCGCTGGGATTTTTGTCGTAATTTTAAAGTTACACCAGCTTAAGACATTAGGACGCTACGACGGTTGGAAGCGCTTCTTAGAGTTGGGCGTTCATAACGCTCTTAGTAGTGAAAGCCGTGTATTTAGAACACGGGATCCTTTTCGCTCACAAGATAAGTAATCGGGGTGAAGCAAAAATCAAAAGTTATGTTGAAAAGCAATGGTTTGAGTAAAACACTGGTTTTAAAATGTGTGTGTTTTTTTTATATTTTTATACATATCTCTACGTTTCGGATTCTTTACAGGAGTATGATTTTTAATTAATTTTGACTAGCTTCCTTCGAAAAAACTTTTATACAACGTTTGGATACTTTGTGGTGTGTCTGTCTGTTGCTCCAATACTTAATTATAAGCTAGTATAGGCAAATTTTAGGTTTTGTACTATAAAATTAATTTTGGCTCTTAACAAAATTCTACGTTTAAGGTACTTTTCGGTATCTATTTACTCGCCGCTTCACGACTTTTTTATGTCTATTTATTATTATATCTCTCATACTTATTTAATCATTTCCATATATAATATGTACTTTCATTATCTTTTTGCTATTATTATATATCTTTCTATATGACGCCCCACGTCACTTCCAGCTCATAACTTTTTTTCCATCATGTTTCAATCACTTAATACCTATATATCTGCCAAGGGAGATCATAAGCATCTTCTTCGAAATTCAAAAATGTTTCTAATGTTTTTGGCTCGTTCTATTAATTTTATTTTTCCTGTTTCAAATTTCGAAATTGAATGTCAGACATAGCGGTATAAAAACCACAAGTCCAGATAACAGACAGTAATATAAGGTGAGGTTTCAAATGTTACACATCATACGCGACTACTGTAAGGCTCGCTCGTTTTTTTTATTGTCTATGTTTTTTTTCATATATCGTTCTGTTTCACTAATTTCATGCTGTAAGGGCCAATATAATGTTTTACTTTCTTCTTTCATTATTTTTTGATAATCTATCTGACGGACTAAATAGAACTTCATTTACTTAACCCCGTCGTCATCCATAATATCTTAAAAGGTTGATGTTTTTTACCTTCACCCCACGGATATTGAATCAATGTACGCCCACGTTTAAACTAAACATCTACCATCTATGGGTATTATCTGTCTTCAGAGCCTCAGTTAAGAGCTATCTGATACCTACACAAGATATAAAAGAAAAACAAAACGCAGTCGCTTTTCGCGGCACTCTCGATTTTCCGCTGAACTTAGCCGCGAGTATTGGCTCTCCATATCACCCTGTCACCCTTCTGGTTCGGCGCAGCATTCCACATGTCCGCACGGCGTCGTGTGATCGTAAAATAAACATTCCGGCACGTCTCCACTGCGCAAACTGATCTCTGTTGCCGCAAAGCAAAAGCGTTTGAAATTAGAGCAGCAATATAGGTACATACCTACAAAACCGTTTTGATCCCTTCCGTTTAAGCTCTGGTTTCGGATTTAGGATAGCTTCCGTAATATTATAGACACAAAAAGAACTAAAGAGGGTTTACTTCTTTCTTAGAAATCGCGTTCTTTTGTTTGCTTAGACAACTTCCTAGTGCTATCCTAGGAAATCAAAGCTTTAGAATAATGAAAAAGGCGCTTCGTAACACACATGCCGTTTCGTTTTTACTCCCAGATCCATCGCTAGCTTTCTTACCGTACATTGTTAATAGTGAAACGAACGGATATCTGTGTGTGGTATATGATTTTTGTACTTAATTTGCGTTTTCCGATATATGACTTTTATACTAAACTTCTTAGCGGCCGCCCGCGACAATGTCCACATTGTCTTTAGTTTTTTGAAATTTCTTTTACTTGTTACTTGTTTTGGGGCCCCGTTTTCGCAAGTAGACTCCGTACTTGGTCCATTGTGCCTGCAGGGTTGATTGGGATAGCTATCACAGCCAGCCTAGCTCTTTCCAGAAGCGCAGTAGTCTCCAGGGCTCTCACAGGCTTCTAGGAGCGTCCTCGCCGCCTCGAGGAATGATGCCCGGCGTTCTGCCACGCTCATACATTCCAGGATCACATAAACAGCCGTTTCGTCTGCTTCCAGATATCCTCTGCATCTGTGCAGTACATATAGTTCTCTGGAACTATCAATGGTAAGCCAACGCTTATTTAATAGGCATTGCCCTGTTATAGAGTCCAGCCTTACTCGGAGATCAATTCGGTTATGATTGAGTATTTTTATAGTGTTTCTGGGGTTGAGGTTAGGGAAAATAGACTTAAATAAATATAGCCTTAGAAAAATATATACCCTTTTTTTATAAATTTACCTTTTACATTGTTGTAGGTGATACCTATAACTGGCTCTCTGTTACTTTTATGTAACCTTATAATATATAATTAGCTGTTGGTCTTCCTAGAGTAAGTAAATAAATAGATTGCCTGTAGCCCTCGGTATTGGCCCGACGGGTGTCGTCGCCCTGTATGGTTCGTTGGCGCACCCAAGTACGAATTTGGTTGAAGGGTAACGGCAAAAGTGGCTCAGGGCCTTCCCACTTTGTGTGCTGATCCCCTTCTTGCTAGTTCGTCAGCTGCGTCATTACCCATAGAGCCGCTATGCCCCTTGATCTATTGGAGGATCCCTGTTTTCTGTTGCTATTTGTTCCAATATTAAGTGACATTCGTAAACGAGCCCAGAAGTTTTGCTGTTACTATCTAGGGCTCTTAGGAAAGCCATACTATCAGATCTTAGGCGTATCTTATAGTTTGTGACTTTCCTCTTAGGACAGCGGTGGTGGCGTCAGTAATATCTATGCATTCGCATTGGAATATTGAGCTGTGAATACCCAGTACTGTTGATATATGGATGTTAAGGTCTAGTGTGAATACTCCTGCGCCTGATCCCGGTCCTGGTATTTTAGATCTGTCAGTTTATATGCGCAGTTCGTCTGTGCTGGACCAGTCCTTCTTAGTTGCTTGCAGTTCTACATAACAACTTTCTATGCTATATGTACTCCATAATGGTGAAATTTAGTCATATTAACTAAGCCCACAATTTTAATCAACCAAATGGCGATTAGAAATAAGAAATTAGGTATAAATAAATGAGACGTTCTCGCTTTCTTTCACTTAACCCGACCTGACTTTAAGCGAGAGTAGAAATCTGTGCGATAATACTCTTAGCAGGTGCGGAAATTTAATCATTTATCTCATACGTACGAGTACATACAAAATTGAAATCTGACACTCTCAGTGCAGTAACAGAACACTATATCATTGTGTTAAAACGCTGTTACGCTTCAGAAAAAAACGAGTGAAGCTGTGCATGTTACAAGTATTACAAAACAAAAATTCAGCGGTCCAGCTGCACAGAACATGAGAGGTGGAAGCACCATGTTCGGACCATCGCATCTTCTTGTAACTTGCTCCATGAAATCGTCTCCGTCAGTACGCGCATCATGCTCGATACACGTCACGCAACATGATTAATACACTGTCAACACCACTGCGATACCCGTTTTAAGCACACTTTTGTGAAAACCACAGTCTCTTTATGTCCAATACAGCTTCCCTTCCGTTGTAGCAGTACACTAGAATGCAATAGCTTTGCATATTTTTAGACTGTCAAATAAAATCGGTTGAAGATAATGTTATTCAGCTTAATATTCTCTCTTCCAATCCAAATTCCTGACAGCATTTGATGTGCATGGTAAATTTTGTTATTTGGCAGTTAGCAGCGATTTACATAATAAATATTGTGTTAATTGGCTTCTCATAAACCAAATATCTGTATCTAATGTATTTTTTAAAAGGAAAGGGATTTTTTTCTCTATTAAGAGATACTTGAATGTACCTATGTGTCATCGAAATAACAGCAGACCGCGGCTGATCACAAATCAATACAATATAGTGTTTCGTTTAGGGAGTTATGAAATCTTCAAAGCTTCATGGAGGAGAGGAATAAGGTTAAAGAACCAATTTTGTGATAATAAATAGAACCATTACCACCATGGTGTTCCTATGCCCATTTGCGTCCCTTTTCACTTACAAAAATAAAACATCAAATGAGATCAAGGTTTTAACCGGGGCAATTCATTCCCGGTCTCATTACCAATGAAGTGGCCGGTTTAATGTTTCAAGCCACTCTTGTACACTTTAAAGCTTTCCAACCAGTTCTGAGGCTTTCGTTTCAAAGGCTTAAGCTCCTTTAATGGATCAAATACCTGT